AGAGAGCCAAAGCATAAGAGACTGTTGAGAACTGAGAACAAACTAAGGGTTGATGGGGGGTGGGAGGGAGGAGAGGGTGGGTGATGGGTATTGAGGAGGGCACCTTTTGGGATGAGCACTGGGTGTTGTATGGAAACCAATTTGACAATAAATTAAATATATAAATAAAAAAAATAAAAAAAAATAAAAAAAGAAAGTCAATGTCTAGCAGTTCTCTAAGTGTCTACCAATGTCTGGGAATGTAGCACTGGAGCCTTGAGAAGGAAGATAGAAAGAAATTTGCAATTTTCAGTAATGGAAGTGTTTGGAAGGATTGGCCATCTAGGATAAGAGATGGCAGGGTGAGTGGTAGGGGTGGGGGAGGAATGCAGGTCATAGCTTTTGGGAAGCCAAAATCTAGGGCATGGGAGGACGAAAAGGAGCCAGCAAAGATGAAAACAAAGGGTGGCCTATGATACAGTGGCAGAATCAAGAGACCAAAATTAAAATCATAGAAGCCAAGACAGGAAGTTTCAGAAAGAGAATTATCAAGAGCATCAAATATTAAACCCAGGTCAATATTTGGGAAGGTTATTGCATTTAGATAATGAAGAGTAAGTCTCCTGCATTTCCCTAAAATACATCCGTATCTTTAAAAGATGGTCCCTCTGCAATCCTTTTATATTTCTCTATCTTCCACAAGTGCTAGGACAAGACTTAGCCATTTTGTCGAATAAACAACTTTCTAAATATACAAGGTGAAATGCTACATCAGTGTTCCAAGACAAATCAGTTTCTCATACTGTATATATTTTTTTTTAATTTTTTTTTCAACATTTATTTATTTTTGGGACAGAGAGAGACAGAGAATGAACGGGGGAGGGGCAGAGAGAGAGGGAGACACAGAATTGGAAACAGGCTCCAGGCTCTGAGCCATCAGCCCAGAGCCTGACGCGGGGCTCGAACTCCCGGACGGCGAGATCGTGACCTGGCTGAAGTCGGACGCTTAACCGACTGCGCCACCCAGGCGCCCCCCTCATACTGTATATTATTCACATTTTCGTATTACTGTAAATGAACATATTGAAGCCATCCCAGAATGCCTTTTATTGTTTTTCTCATTTTATTTTCTTTAACAAAATCATGGTGGCATTACTGATCTTTTCTGCTTTTTGGAGAAGAAAGAGTGTTTAGGATGAAATCTAAAGGAAGCCATTTCTCTTACTCTCAAGCTGCAGAATCTATGACAGCTGCTCATCCTCAGGGATGGGTCTTTTTATTAGCCTCCCACAAGAACCAATAAAGAGCTTCCAGGTAGAATCTGTTCCTGTATTTTATTTCTATTTCTATATATATCTGAATTTCAAATACTCTTCTAGATTGCTATAAGTAAAAGAAATGCAGCCTTTAGCTCTCTTGAGAATTTCTGATGTTCATCACACTATTTTGTTTTGTTTTGTACCTTAGATTGGTTCCTACTTTGGCAGTGTTTTAACCACACTTGACGTTGATAAAGATTCTAATACTGACATTCTTCTGGTTGGGGCTCCCATGTACATGGGAACAGAGAAAGAGGAACAAGGAAAAGTGTATGTGTATGCCCTGAATCAGGTAATGATCACTCTGCATTTGGTAGAAATTTGTGAATATCTCTTCCTTTTTTTTCAATTTCAAATAAATAATGCAGTTCTAATTTTGTACTCACTTTGGAAAAAGGAGCAAAGAATCTTTCAGGCCCCTTTACCGTCACCAACTCCTCCATTTCTAAATGAATATTTTACAGTTCTAATAAAGTAGTTCAAACCATTGGATGCTTTCTGCTTGGAAATGTGAACTATCCTTTTTTAGCAGAATATATAGAGATAAATATAAATCTCACTAAACTGCTAAATAAACTTACAGGGCAACCATTCAAGGCTCTGGCCTGGAGGTGTTAGGAACATTAGCAGTTAAAACTGCATTAGCTGTCCAAAAAAGCTGGGGAAGCAGAGAGACTGTGGAGTAGTGAATTTTAAGGCAGTGACATCAGACAGTTACAGTAAACTACTTTGGTCTTTGGAATACTTCATTGGGCTGGAGTGAGGTTTTGTTTTCCACTCCTGACTTTCGACATCATTTGTAGATGAAATAATTCTTGATGTCTTTGTTAGAAGGGTTTTTGCTTTTTACAGCAAAGTCAGTACTTATCTCTTTAGCTTTTTAAATTCTTAGAGTCTCTCCATATTAATTATTTTAATTCATAAATTGTATACCTTTCTTCCTATCATTTTGTTTGCTTCCTCCCATAAATTTCTTTGGTCCTTGCTGTTTTTCCTTGTTTTCCTAGAAAGTGTGTTCCTGTCCATCATTACTAGTACTTTCTGACCTTTACTGAGTTTGGGGGGGGGGGGGGGGCGGCGCACGGGGGTTGCCCTAGATAGCTTTGGGAAAAGCTCACTTTTTGAATAGAGTAAATTTTCTCTTTACCCTGTGGAGGAGACTGTATAGAGACTTTTCAGAGAAGCAAATATTGGATGAAGAAAGGATAACAACCTGAACTGAGGGTTTAAAAATTCAGTTATTTGGTTTTAAAAGCATGCTGTGAGTTATATAGTCACTTGATTGCATTAAAAAGAGAATCCATTAAAATGCTCAATATGTCTTCTTCCCCACACTTCTACAATCTGTTCTTTAAAATCTTTAACTTTGCTGTCAGATAACCACAATTTTTAAGAAATTTTACAAACTTTACTGTTGATGTACAAATGGTTTTTAATAGCTCTGATTTAGTACGTACTTAAAAATTTCACTGTGCTGTCGTAACGATAGAAATTCATAAGTATCCTGTTTATCTTTCTTCCAGACAAGGTTTGAATATCAAATGAGCCTGGAACCCATTAAGCAGACTTGTTGTTCATCTCTGAAGCACAATTCATGCACTAAAGAAAACAAAAATGAGCCGTGTGGGGCTCGTTTTGGAACAGCTATTGCTGCTGTGAGAGACCTCAATCTTGATGGATTTGATGACATTGTGATAGGAGCTCCCCTGGAAGATGATCATGGGGGAGCCGTGTACATTTATCATGGGAGTGGAAAGACTATAAGGCAAGAGTATGCACAAGTAAGAAGTTCAACCTACTATTCCCGCCCTTAAACATTAAGCGGGTTCAATGCTAGGCTTGCTTCTTGTCTTGCTTCATGAGTTTTTTTTTTTTTTTTTTCTTCTGACTCTATTGGAAAACTAGATTTAATTCCTTTTTAAGTTTTCTTTATAGAAGCATTTTTTTGTATTTTATCCTCTTTTCTATTTTTTTCTGCTTTTTCTTTTGCCATGGCTCCATGATCTGAGCTTTCAAAATGGTAAAAAACAAAAGAACACTTTATGATGACACTATTTAACATTTGCAATGTGCCTGATCCTAAACAGAGATTACCACTTTCTTTTTATTTATTTTTTAAAAGCTTATTTATTTATTTTGAGAGAGAGGGAGAGAGCAAGCAGGTGAGGGGCAGAGAGCGAGGGAGAGAGAGGGAATCCAAAGCAGACTCTGTGCTGTCAACATGGTGCCCAACACGAGGCTTAAACCCATGAACCGTGAGATCATGACCCGAGCCAAAATCAAGAGTTGGATGCCCAACCGACTGAGCCACTGAGGCACCCCAGAGGATACCACTTTCTAAATAAAAGAACAATAATGATATAATTTAGCTAATAAAGAAGATGAGATTATTGTATTTATATTCAGTATCCATGCTGTTGTAATGAAATTGCGTTACATTTATATTTATGAATTAAATTAGTATATTTTCATCAAATGAATTTGTGTTCCTGAAGGTTTATAATTTCCTCACAAGTAATCCCTCCTAGAAAAAAAATCTGAATAACTAAGCTTAACCTACAAGGGATTTTCTGTTGTTCTTGTTTAAATTTATTGTCAGTTAATGATTCTAATCCATAAATGTAATTTTTTCCTATATGAGCAAAATACAAATTTACAGAAGAGTTTAAAGGAATTCTTCTAATGTAATTGTCTGATTTTTAACTAACCATGGTAGTTAGGCATTGAACTACTTATATAACATGAAAAGAAAATTGGGACATCAATTATTTCTTTTTATATTTGACTGTTCTCTCCATACTGTAGTCAAGAGAATTCTCAAAATCCATTCATGTATTGTGAAGTTGTACTTAATTTTTCATAAAGCCATAATGACATTAATGAAACAATAAAGTAAAGGGCATGTTTCAGTAACAACACTTCCATCCATTCAGTAAATTATTTGTTTCTTTCAAAGCAAATATTTCATGGTATTACTTAACTGAAAACAGACAATATTAACCACGGGAATGTGACGCAATTAGGAATTGCAGGAAGGAGTTTCTTTCTTGTGTCCTACCACTTTATTCTTTCACTACTAATCCTGAAAATTCAGTGGAATGGCATTTGCAGTAGAAACAAGAGGATATTTAAATCACTAATAATAGGAATAGACTGTCATAAGAAATTTATTTTGTAAAATGGTGGCTAACTCAAGATGCAGCTTTAAATAACCACAAGAAAGAATATTAGAGTTGATTTTGCTTAATTATTGGAAAAACGCTTTCCCAAGGATAGGTGAGGGTGTGCTCACCTGTTTCCATGGTAACCAGAGGTGCTGCTTGTGTGGGGAATAATCCAGAATCAAACTGAATGAACTCCTCCAGAACCAATGAGGCTGATATCTCCTGATTTGTTTCCTGAAAACATAAGGAAATATTTCCCAATGAGCCACAAATATTTAAGCATGAAAAATGTTTCTATTGGTTTGCCTTGTTTGGCTTCTGAATTTATGGTTTTTAAGTGAAAAACAAGAGGATAAGAAGACCCCCAAGTTTAGGGAGGGTCTGTCAGTCCTTTCTTCTTGCTATCAGTTCTATGAAAATATTATCAGCTTAGGGGCCCCTGGATGGTTGAGCGTCCAACTCTCCATTTTAGCTCAGGTCATGATCCCAGGGTTGTGGGATTAAGCTCCACGTCAGGCTCCTCCCTAAGTGTGTAGCCTGCTCAGGAATCTCCTCTGTCTCTCTCTCTCTCACTCTCCCTCTCTCTAAAATTAAAAATATATATGTTATCAGCTTGAGTCAAAGCTAAACCAGGAAGTACAACTTTTAAACACACTATGTATGGGTGTACACAGTGTGCACAAATCAATGTTCAAGAACTCCATATTCATTTGTGCCTATCGATTTTATAGTGCCCTTGACCTTTAACAAAGAAGATCATATATTGGAAAATGTATCTGATGGAATGTGCTATTTATACCCAGCCCCCCAATTCATTGACCCCTAAACTGACCCCTAGGACAAACATCTACTCCCCCTCTTGCTTGTATGATGTGTTTTCAAGGTTCCAGTATCTTCAAATAACTCTGTTTTATGGGACTGAGTGGAAACTAGAAAGGAAGAGCCAGTTACTCACTAATGTTTTCCTTGAGCATTAGACAAGATGACGTTATATAATTTTTTTCTCTCTGGTGTCAGTGACCCTGAAATTATTTTGTCTGTACTATAAAAAGAATAACTTTTGGTAACATCTGAGTAATTCATCTTGACTCCACATGAGGGGCTTCTTGGGCAGTTTTCCAAAAGGTCTTTAAATTTAATATTATGTTAACCAATCCAAGTTCTCAGATGTATTTAAAACTGTTTTTGAATATACTCTTCTGGCATAAAACCTCTCTGTTGGTACTTTCACAGCGTATTGCATCAGGTGGAGATGGCAAGACACTGAAATTTTTTGGCCAGTCTATCCATGGAGAAATGGATCTAAATGGGGACGGTCTGACTGATGTGACTATTGGGGGCCTTGGTGGTGCTGCCCTCTTCTGGTATGTATTTTAATAACATCCTATTAGTCATAACATTTCACAAATAGTTCCAGAGCTCGGTATGACTAGAGCTCATTCATACCAAATATTTTCCTTTATGCTCTGTTATTTAGATAAAAGTTATGTAGTTCAAGAAGCTGGAGAAGTCAATAAATCTTAAAAATAAAGAAACCATATTAAAGAAACAAGTAGAATCAACCCTTAATTTGGGGTATCTATTATGTGCTCAGCACTAAGGTAGGTATTCTGTTTTAGGGAGCAGCATAGGAGAGAAAGAGGGCCTCATAGAGAATTATATAAATAAGAAACCATCCCTAACTTTGAGTTTTTCACAGACTTTTATGGTAATTGATTCTTCATTCTTCATTTACCTAATACATGTAATTAGACAATTGTACGTCATTGTCTGTATATACATTGTTGGTCAAGCATAGAAGCATCTTCAATGATATCTCTACTCAGCCTTTAAAATGTCTGCATCCTCAAATTAATTTCAGTTCATTCTAAAATTCTAGTCAATGGTCAGATATATATATTAATACCATTTTACTTATTAACTTATTTATTAATAAAATAATTTATTGGGTAATGTCATTAATAACCCCATTTTAACTAGTTAAAAAACACAATTTCAAAAAGGGTTCTTTTGGGAGGAAAAGTGACTAAAAAATCAAGGATAATCTTAAGATAAATTTCGTGTGATAATTTTTTAAATGTTTCAAACTTCATTAAGAAATATAATTAAAAGGGCACCTGGGTGGCTCAACTGGCTAAGCGTCTGACTCTTCATCTCAGCTCAGGTCATTATCTCCCAGTTTGTGAGTTTGAACCCCACATCAGGCTCTACACTGATGGCATGGAGCCTGCTTGGGATTCTGTCTCTCCTCTCTGCCCCTCTCCCCTGCTTGTGGCACTCTCTCTGTCTCTCTCTCTCTCAAAATAAATAAACTTAAAAAAAAAAAGAAATTAAAAATACATACAATGGAAATATTTAATATAAAAATATATTTATATTTATGCCATGTGCTTTGATGGCAAGTCCATATATTGATTCTTCCAAATCAATCATTAGTTTAAAGTAATTTAGATGGAAACAAATATCAATGGTCTTTTCCCCAAAAATATTATCTAGAAAAGTAGTGAAGATAGAGACCTGAAACTAGATGACTTTGTCATAATTTAAGATAACTAATTGCAACTATAATTACAATTTATAACATTGTAATAGCATTGTATGGTGACAGGTGGCAATTGTACTTATTGTAGTGAGCATAAGGTGATGAATATAATTGTTGAATCACTATGTTACACATTTGAAACTAATATAAAATTATATGTCAACTATAGTTCACCTTAAAAAACTCAAGGAAAAGAAACATTTTAAAAAGAGATACTGTTTAAGAACTAATGGCCAAATACAAATTGCATATTAAACTGTACGCAGATAATAACTATTATGTTAAGAAATGTTTTAACTGTACAGTGCGGGGGTGGGGGGTGAGAGGGAGAAAGAAAACTGTAAGGTGATGCCTAGGAAAGGAGAATGCCAGGCAGCAAGTAGCTGTGACTTTGGGGATGACAGACCCAAAACGAGCTGAAATCACCAGTGTCAGCAGCAAAGGGTATATTTACTTTTTGTATGAACTGGTAATCATGAATTAATTTATTATGATAACCTTAACTCAAACATATTTATTGTATTCACTCTCATATTAAATATATATATCTATTTTTATGTATATACAATATGAATATATATGCAATATGCACATATATATGTATATATGCTACATATATATATACACATACGTACATACAATAAGGGCAATTTTTACTCTCCAGTTTTGTTTCAAAGCCTTCTTACAAAGCTCTGAAGACTTACTTATGACCTCTTTTGCTGCCGGTCAGTGCTTTATCATTAATGGGCCAAAATGACAGAGTTGGGTCCCTGTCACTCCCAGCAGAATGGACCAAACCAGCATATAGGGACACAAAGACCAAGACTTCACAATGCTGAAGGAGGGATTGAGAGTGGATATAGATGGCAGGCAATAAACAGAGGCCCACCAGCAGTCAGGGACGTCCAGGAACAGATATTGAGAGCCCTATCATGTGGAATAGATTGCACCATAACCCCTTTAAAGACCTGGTTGGGGCAGAGAGATGTGCAGTGGGGAGCTTCATTCTTGGAGTATCCAAACTACTATGCAGGAAATTAGACATGCTCATTCATTCCTGGTGAAAGAGTAAACTGGTTAAAACACATTAGAAGGTATTTGCCAATAAGTGTTAAAAAGCCTTAAAATATTTACACTTTTTAACACAGAATTTAGTTCCTAAAATTAAAAAAAAAAAATTTTAGTGTTTATTTAGTTTTGAGAGACAAAGAGAGATAGGGCATGAGTGGGGGAGGGGCAGAGAGAGAGGGAGACAAAGAATCCAAAGCAGGCTCCAGGCTCTGATCTGTCAGCACAGAGCACAATGCAGGGCTTGAACTCAGGAACTGCAAGATCATGACCTGAGCCGAAGTCAGACGCTTAACTGACTGAGCCACCCAGGCGTCCCAATTTCTGAAAAATTTTTGAAACTCTAATCTTTATCTAAGATATATAATCTTTAGAGCCATCACAGCACTGTGCTAGCAACTTTTTAAAAAACAAATTAGTACAGGAGTGCCTGGGTGGCTCAGTTTTTTCAGCATCCAACTTGGGCTCAGGTCACGTTCTCCTGGTTTGTGAGTTTGAGCCCCACGTTGGGCTCTGTGCTGACAGCATGGATCCTGGCTCCTGCTTCAAATTCTGTATCTCCTTCTCTCTCTGCTCCTCCCCTGCTCACTCTCTGTCTCTCTTTCTCCCTCTCTTTCAAAAATAAAAATAAACATTAAAAAAGCTTTTTTTAATAAAAAACAAATTAACACAAATGTACCATAAGAAAGGATTGAGTAAATAGGTTACAATACATGTGTATGCTGGAATAATTTATTGTCATTAAAAATAATGTTCCCAGAAAAATACAAATATTATAAGGCTGTTCATTATATCATGATAAGTTTTAAAAGTATGTATGGATACATATGTACATGCATGTGTGTGTATGTCTCTTTTTCCCACACACATACGCACACACACATACCCATATCTATAGATGATGTATTCTTCTGCAAAGAAAAAAAGCATATCAAATGTTAATGGTGATTATTGCTGAGTAGTAAAATTACAAGTGATTTCTGTTTTCTTTGTTTCCTTTTTTATGTTTCCATGTTTTCTTTGGGTAAAATGTTTTAAAAGAAAAGTAACTATAGTTTTTTTAATGCAAAATCAAATCGGGGACCTATGTATTCACAAGCTACCTAGCTACAGGACCTGTACTTGTCTGTACAAGTATTACAGTGGACAGAAGCTGTCCATTGGCCTTTGGACTCTTTCCAGATTGGAAACAAACTTGAAAATTCCCAAAATATGATTTTGGTTCTGAAGTTGCATCTGAGCACTTGGTTCCATCTTTTTTCCATCACAAGAAAACAGATTTTTGGCTTATGAACTGTAAGTAATGAAAAATAATTTTCCTTCAACCTTCTAAGTTCTTGGCTGAGATCCCTGTTATAAAAGATTAACAAGAGAAAAATAGAGATTTATAAATTTGTATATCTCATGTATACATGGGAGATACCCAAAGAAAAATGAGTAATTCCTTGAGGTGGTTTAGAATTCAGACTTAAATCCATTTTATTTATTTTTTAAGTTTATTTATTTATTTTGAGAGAGAGATTATAGGAGGGGCAGAGAGAGAAGGAGAGAGACAGAATCCCAAGCAGGCTCTGCCCTGTAAACATGGAGCCTGATGTGGGGCTGGAACTCATGAACCATGAGATCATGACCTGAGTTGAAATCAAGAGTCAGACGCTTAACCAACTGAGCCACCCAGGAACCCCAGACTTAAATATCATTTTAATAGAGACAAGAGAGAAGGTATGTAGGCCTCTACGGGGAGAGTAAATGATTTTTAAGAAAAATGAGTGGGCCTTGGAAAAAATAAATGGGTGATATGATAGTTTGTGACCAAGTTCACACTGTGACCAGTGTGGTGTCTCTTATGTTGTGATAAGAGTCAGTCCTCTCTGGTTGATGAACTCGAGTTGAGTTCCTTTTGGAGTATCTACCTTTAGGTAGAAGGAAATTTCAGAGAAAGCTTCTTCCTGTATTTACTGTTTATCAAGTGCCTATAGCTCAAACTAATCAATATACCAAAGTGATATGTTTTGGGGTGACATGTCCTAAACTCCTGTAATCACATTTTGGGGTGGCATATTCTCCTACCATTTAGCACCAGAAGTTGAAGATGGTTCCAAAACATCCTGGGTGTCCTCGGAACCTCATATACCACCTATTCTGTATCAAAAACTCACCAAAGAAATGGAGTCCTGAGAGGCCAACCATACACAAAGAAGAATCCCCATCAGTGCATTCACACTGCACTGGCATAGTGATGGCATTCATTAAATGTGACAGTATGTGAGCAGTCATCACCGTTTATGTTTGTAGGTCCCGAGATGTGGCTGTAGTTAAAGTGACCATGAATTTTGAACCCAATAAAGTGAATATCCAAAAGAAAAACTGCCATGTGGAAGGAAAGGAAACAGTATGCATAAATGCTACGGTGTGTTTTGATGTGAAATTAAAGTCCAAAGAAGACAGAATTTACACAGCTGGTGAGTATAATATGTATACCAACTACTTTGGGGCAGGAGGACAATACATTTGCTCCCACATCAGGAAATCCAGTAAGATATTGTATTTCCTCTGTGATAGGGATCTGCATTTCACCCTTGCCCCTGTGAACATGCTGAACCTTGAAAAAAAAAATCTACTGAAGAAAGAATATGTTATGGAACCCAGTAAGTTCTGTAGCAGACACTGTATGGTTATATGCAATGGCCTCAACAGTCCATGGTTCCCCTCTGGCTCTCCCCTTTACCGCAAACAACCAGGTACTAAAAACAATATTAATAATACAAGTTTGGAGATTAGAGTTTGGAAACTGGGCTCCAGAGGAGCCCAGTTTTCCTTCCTGTGGGTTTTCACAAACCCTCTCTTCCTTCTTCTGCCCCTCTTTGGTAAGACTGATATTGCAGGGGACCTGAATGCTTTGCCACCCCACCTGACTGAGGTTTCTTTGCTCTACTCAGAAGGTGACCCTGGCTTTTGAGAATCAGACATGCTCCATGTGTGAGTTCTCAGGCACAGCCTGGGTGTCTCCTCCTCCCTACACGCACACTTCCTAAGGTGTTTTTTTAAAGATATTAAAACGTGTTAGATTCAAAACTGTAGAGGCCATTGGCTGCAAAAGAGTAGTTTACTCTACAAACCAAGGGTAAGTGAAATACGAAAAATCATTAATCCTTAAAATCTGTTTTTCTTAGTTTGGTCTACATGTGCATAATTATGCTCTGCAATGGTCCTCTGATTAGAAGATAATTAGCTATAGGAGTGTAAAATAATGATTTGCATTTTCATATACAATATTATTTCAGTCTCATTTGATTTCTGTACAGTAACTAAGGGTTCAAATGAGTAGGATTGTTGCCTTTTTTAGAAAGTGTAAGGTTTAACTTGTTTTTTTATTTTGGTACACCTATTTTCTTAAACTTATTTTACTATGTGCTTTGAACATAATCTAAAATGACCTTTTCACAAAATAGGTAAAAATTCATTAGTGTATTTTTTGTGTGTGTCTTTTGAAATATATTCAATATTCTAAGCAGGACTTCAACATTGCTAAACTAAAAATAATAATAATAATTTAAGTGAAAACCCAGTAAACACATGCATGGTCAGGAAATTAGTTGATATGTAGGTGTACACGTATGTGTGTGTGCATATGTACATATACATTATGAAATAAGTGTAATTAAACATTAAAAGCAGAGTGAACTCCGAAGGTGGTTCTGTAGAGTTCCTAAAGATTATCTTTATGACTGTGAGTACCATTGTACTACAGTAATGGGGATAAGCTGAATAATAGAAACTATTTGTTGATTGATTGCTCACAAGGTTTTTCTATAATGCTAATTTAATGAACTGGACCATATGAAAGTTACCCCAAGTAAATGTTTCTTGTCATTTTTTTTCCCCAGATATACAGTACCGTGTCACACTAGATTCACTAAGACAGATATCACGAAGTTTTTTCTCTGGAACTCAAGAAAGAAAGATTCAAAGAAACATCACAGTTCAAGAATCAGAATGCACTAAGCTTTCCTTCTACATGTTGGCAAGTAAATCATATGTTATAGTTGCTTTATTCCAAATCAAGAATAAAGCACAGATGTCTTATTTCAAGTCACCCATATTATTTTATTTTGGAGTGCACATCACAAAGTAACCTTCATTTTATTTGGTCACTTTTATCAGAAAATCACAGACCTGATCTTCTCATTTCCAAATACATTTCATAAGACTATCTTTCATCTTCCCTGTGTGTATGTTATCAGATACCCATATATTATGGAATAGCAAAAGGCACAGTGCACTGGTTGATAAGAGACCTTCTGCCTTCATTCACTTACTCATTTCTTGTATCCATTCATTTATTCTTTCAACTTGAAAACATCATTTAACTTTTGTGGGCCTCATCTGTCAAATGTAGATAAGTGGCTACATGCCCTGAAAACTTTTGGGCCATATGCTTTCCCAGGTCCCTTCTTATCCACTGAATTTTGTATGTTGCTCTTTGACTTTAAATTGAAGAGGAAAAAATCTGTTATTTTTTATTTCATGATAACCTAAGTTTCTTTATGATACCTAAGTTTCTTTCTATTACAGTGATGAGGGAGCCTCAGAAAGCAAATTCTTAATCTCCAGAGATGGCTAGGAAGCCCTTTTGAACCATTTAAAATGCATTTTATTGAGTCATTGTGTAAATGGGGAACATTCCCAATAAGGGCAGGAATTTCTTAAACATTTTCTTATAATGTACATGGTACTTAAAAAAAGAGAGAGAGACAGAGTGAGAGAAGAATGGATATTATGAGAAGACACTGATTTTAGTGACTGAGACAGACCTGGAGCTTGTACATGATCTTGGAATTTTAAAGGAAACAGGCCGGGTTTCTCCCACCTTTGACTTATTTCTGTATTATTGATGTATTCATATTCTACATGTTTAAAATATTATAGTTGGGGTAGGGAAGTGACAGAAAACATGCCCTGCTGGTATACTGTATTTCTCCTCAGTGATTTTCAAGTTAATATTCCCCACGACATACATTGAAATTAATTTATCTGTCAATACTAATATCAATCTATAATCAGAAAAAACAATTGGAGTTATCCTCCTATCTATTTCATCAGAACTGAGCGTTTAGGAGTTCGAACTTGTATAAAATCCGAAAGGGCGTGAAACCAGATGTGGCACCGCCTCCAACCTAATAGAAGTAACTGTAGTATATATTTGTCCAAAATTTAGAATCTAGCTATGTCTGTGCACTATGTGTGAACCAGTTTCAAAATTTCCAAAATTTTTTTGCATTTAAATGGATACTTTAACATTTATTCCAGAGTCAGGCAGGATGGAATTTATAGCAAGGCTTCCTCACATTCCAAGTGATTTTCACCAACTTGTTTAGTCTCTTAGAGGCCCAGTTTTTCAAATGTAAAATAATGACTATAAGAGTCATTCATCTTGGAGGATGTTGAAATACTTCTCAATAATGTCTGTAAAGTTCATAATTCTGGACATGCCATAAATAATGGCCATTGCTGATGATAGTATAAAACAATATTGATTGCATTCATACTACTTACATATCACTTTATATTATGAAATTCTTACAACTCCAGGCATATATTATGCTAATTAAATTCAACTCAATTTAAATAAAGTTTGCTCATTTGAAATTGGGAGACTTTTCTGGAAGTATTACATGGCAATTTTTAGCCTAAGGTCTCAAGAGAAAAGATATTGTTATGCAAAGTACGGCACACCCGATCACTCCAGCAGGGCTCCCTAAGAAGCTAGAGGTGAATCAACTGGTCATACTCTGAAGCCTGTGCATTCCAGCCATGTCCCTTATCAAGGCAGAAGGCCACCTCTCTCCAGTGAAGCAAGAGGAAAGAAGCCACGACAAGGTCAGAGCATCCAGTAATGTGATATCAATGATAAAGTATTTTATGTTTCAACCTGTAGGACAAGCATGACTTTCGGGACTCTGTGAGGATAACTTTGGATTTTAATCTTACTGATCCAGAAAACGGGCCTGTTCTTGATGATTCCCTACCAAATTCAGTACATGAATATGTAAGTCAGATTTTGTAAAATTCAGAATACGTATATGTAAATATACTTGGGGAGAGAAACCTGTAACACACAGACATACACACACAACCCTAAATCATTTTTTTTTTTACAAAAAGAATGAGACTCTTCTAGACTTTTCTCAACTCTTCTACTTCCTATTGTTGGAGCTCAAGGAAACTTATAAATACCACCTATTTTTTTTTTTTATCTCTCCTGAATTTAAGACCAATAGAAAGAAAGACATGGGTTGGCCTACTGGAACTCCCTTTGTTACCAACAAACACTGAGTGGCAGGGCTTGGTTTCAGCGTACTGGGTGTCTTCCTACTGAACAAGGCTTAGACCACAGATTACCAAATATATCATCAGCAGTGCTCATCAATCTCAGGCCTTTTTTCATGTGGGCTCACCTCATAAAACTTGCAGAATGGAGATAATAGAGCAAGAATGTATGCTTTCCATGGGCACACTGCTGCCCCAAGAGCAGGAGAGACGGGAAGGGACTGAGCTGTGTTCACCATGTTCCTGCTTCCAAATTCACAAAATCTGGTGTCCCACCCCTGAGAAGGAGTAAGTGAGCAAGTAGAAGGATGGGGTAGCACCAATAGAGGAGACATTAAGGATGGGGAATTAGTTTTCCCCATACCCATATCTTTCACTCTCCCTTTCTTCCTTTCAAATATATTTACTGTGTGTCTTACATGTACCAGACTTCAGAGCTTACAGACCAACCCAGGAAACAAGTATTAGGTGGGAAGTAAAGCATGTGCTCTGGAGGAGAACTTCATTGTTCTCTGGGAACTTTTGCCTAGGCAGAGAGCCAGGGGGTGCTCTCCTGAAGCTGTGATATTTAAGTTGAGATCTGAAGCATAGGAGGATTTTCCATCCTATTCAGAGGAGTGGAGGGAGCAGTGTTTCATGCACAGGGATATGTGTAAAAGTTCTGAGGCATAAAGGAACTAAACTAAACTCTCTAGTGTGGCTGAAGCTAAAGAGCAAGGGGGGAAGGTGATATGGGATGAGGTGGGAGGCATAGGCAGGAACCAGATCATTCAGGACTTTGTGCTACTGCACAGATATTTTGAAGAGCAATAGAATGCTATGGATGCATTTAATTGGTTCAGTGATAGCACTAGATTTGTATTTTTTTCAGGATTACTCCAGCTGCAGTGTGGAAAATGATTGAAGGGAAATGATTGGAATTAGAGTGGGTGCAGGAGACCACTTAGGAAGCTGTTGCATTAGTTCAGGGAGGAAATAAGGATGACTAGACTAGAGGTGATGGTAACTAGAGGTGAGAAGATAGTTGGAAGATACTTAGAAGAAAGGTAGAATGGATAGCTCTTAATGAAGGTTTGGATAACGGCGTGTGACTAATGAGAAGAGGAGTCAGGGAAAGCTCCCAGTTATGTGGCTTGACCATTTTCTACCCTCTGACTGAGCTCTGTTACATTCCTAACTATTTGATTCTTTTCAATAGGAAATCTCATAATCAGAGTTGAGCATTAAAGTATTCTCTCATAGATTTGGATCTTAGAGTACTTGACTTGATTTTCTTGAAACTGTTCTAGTCTGGCAGACTAAAGCCAGTGAAAAACATCTGTGAAAACTGCATTATTTAAAGGACTAGAAGAATTTATATCCAGAATTTTATTATTTTTCCCTATAAATTATAGGAATAAATCTAAAATTCCTTATGATTTCTGCAGTGGAATCTGTCCTCTTTGTGACTTGCTTAACTAAGTTTGGCAATATGTTTTCTCTTCTCAGCAAGTTAATAATTAATCTTCAATCATGCTTAACTAAATTTCAAAAAATACTTTTCTGTGACCATTTCAGATTCCCTTTGCCAAAGATTGTGGAAACAAGGAAAAATGTATCTCGGACCTCGCCCTGCAAGTATCCACCACAGCAAAGGGCCTGCTTATTGTCAGGTCCCACAATGACAAATTCAATGTTAGTCTCACAGTCAAAAACAAAAAGGACAGTGCCTATAACACCAGAACCATAGTGCATTATTCTCCAAACCTAATTTTTTCAGGAATTGAGGTAAACTTTTAGTTTTATGTTTGTCTATTCATATAATCATTATTTATTAAGTCTACTTTTCCTGCTACTGAACTAATTGTTTTAGAAGAACTAATAATTGGGTTTAGAAGAACAGAGAGCATTTTGTAAAAATTAGTACTCACAAATGGTGAAAGTGCCAGACTTTTTTTTAAAAAGGTTTTGTTTTGATAGATTTCTGTAGAGATCTGTGACTCTTTTCAGATTCAGTATGAGGCGAGGATCACTGTGATGCAGCAAAATCATGTTTCATGGAGGCATTATGCAGTGAAATTGAGACTAAGTCAAGGAAAAATATCAAAATAACAATCAAAGTCAAATAGTTTAATAGACGTACAGAGAGAGTAATGCATGCATGGAACAAAAAAAACCCCATGTTTACATAAAGAAGCATCAAGATACCATTTTTCATTTTCTATGTAAAATCCTTACATTGTTAAAAGAGGTGTTAACTTGTAATGTCTCATTGTCATGACAGAATATTTATCTTGGCAATAACATAGCTGCATAAGATGCTATATCAGGAATAATAATGAGCACTTCCAAATTTGAACTTTTCTTTTAATTCTTATCTCTGAATTAATCCCCTTTATTTAAGATTCTGTTTATGTATGAATTAGTAATATATGTGATTCATATTAAAAACCAGTACCCTTATTAATATAATATTAAAACTCCATTGTCTAATTTCTGCAAATTCAGACTTTCACTGATATGTCTCTCCATTTATTAGGATATCATTTAAGGACATGATGACTAACAGAGCTTAAAAATATGTCCTTCATTACTACCACATATTTTAGATTCAGTCAAGAATGTTAATTATAAATCCAAATGTGCAAAGTGATACTGGGAAAATATTACCACTGAATTTTTTTCTGGAAAGGGGACTATATTAAAAATTATTGCCAGTATTCTCTTCAACTGACTTCATGGCCTCGGTAGAGAGGCCTCTACATCTTTTAACAGTAACAACAATAATAATAATAATGACAGTCTTTTCTTGAGTCATATTATATTACAGACACTGTTCTCAGGGTCCCACTTATTCAATTCTCATTAAGCAAATAGGTATTATTGTACTACAGAGATTCTAATAAAATCTCTTTCTGTCATGTTTTAACCTTTCTATAACTGCATTTTACAGTTGATATGTTTATTTAGCTGGCAGCATTATTTTTCCTTCTTATTGGTACACAAAATAATGGTGAGTCTCAGTGGCATTTTCGATTTGATGAAATAGAGTATCACTAGCCTCACCTGACAGAAAATCAGTCTCAGAGAAGTGAGGAGTCTTGGCAAGGAGAAAGCTAACAGTGATGGAGTCAGAATTTAAATTCTGGGGGTCTCACATCAGAGCTCATGGTCTTACCACTTCACTGAGCTCTTCTTATGATAGGTATTCACTGTGGGCTTCCATGTGGCCGAGTAATATGTGTGGATTATTTAGTCACCTGTGCAGTACATGCTGTTAGTACCTCCATTTTACTTACATTGGAAAGTCTAGACAGGATAAGATGTGATGTGCATTGTCCCTCAGTTTCCCTTAACTTACATGATGCTTTCAGATTTTCCATGGATGGTGAGACAGGTGATCACAGAATAATGTGACTCTCCCAACTAAATTGAGGGACAGATCTTAGCAAGGCAGAATCCAAGGCATACCTGGAAAAATTCTAGAAAACCAAGTTCCAGTATTTCACCTGTGTGTCTGCTCTAATTCTGTTTACTTTTTCTTCCAAGGCTATCCAAAAAGACAGTTGTGAGTCCAATCATAATCTCACATGTAAAATTAGATATCCCTTCCTGAGAAGAGAAGAAGAGGTAAGCAGATTATAAAACATACATGTGGCAATTTGATATGAAAAATACCGTGTTCAAAGTTAAATATATAAATCCCTCTAATGGTATTTTAGCCTGATATAGATGAGAAGTTTGAGTTCACAATATTGAGATATTGGAATCAAAAGTCAATTATGCATGAGTCAAACTCAAATATTAAAACCAAATTAAACATTTATACTTAATAATTTATCTGATAGTAGTAGGCTTTTCTGGCCTGTAGAAAAAACAAATCTTTCAAACAGGTTGGTTTAGAACTTTGTATAGAATTTTTTTTCATTTCTCTCTCTTTTTTAATAATATCCTCACTGAGATATAATTCACGTACCATAAAATTCACTCATTCAAGTGTACAATTCAGTGTGTTTTTATATATTCACTGGATAGTGAATTGTACAGCCATCACCACAATCAATGTTAAAACATTTTCACATCTCCAAAAGAAACTCTGTACACCTTACCAATTACTTGTCTTTTTTCTCCTCCACTCCTTCCCCCAACCTCAGGCAACCACTAACCTACTTTCTTTATGGATTTGTCTGTCCTGGACATTTCTTATAAATAGAATCATATATTCTGTGGTCATTTGTGACTGGCTTTTTTCACTTAGCATGATGTTTTCGAGGCTCATCCATGTATCAGTAGTTCCTTTTCATTTCCAAATAATATTCCATTTTGTGGATGTAGCCTATTTTATTTAGCCATCTATCAGGTGATGGGCATTTGTTTCTACTTTTTGGCTAGTATGAATAATACTATGAATATTTGTGCACAGGTTGTGGTGTGGGCATATGTTTTTCAGTTCTCTTTGGGTGGAATTCCTGGGTTATATGATAATTACATATAACATTTTGAGAAACTGGAAAACTGTTTTCCAAAGTGACTGCACCATTTTTCATTCCTATCAGCGATGTATGTGTTTCTCAACATTGTTATCGCCTATCTTTTTAATTATAGCCCTCCTAGTGGGTGTGAGGTAGTATCTCATTGTCGTTTTGATCTGCATTTCCTTAATGGCTAATGATGTTGAGCATCTTTTCATGTGCTTACTGACTGTGCATATATCTTCTTTGGACAGATATCTATTCAGATCCTTTACTTATATTTCGATTGGGATGTCTTTTTTTATTACTGAGTTATAAGAGCTCTTCATGTATTCTGCATTCAAGTCACTTATCAGATATATGATTTGTAAATATTTTCTCCCATTCTGTTGTCTTTTCACTTTCTTGATGGTGTCTTTTGAAACACAGAAGTTTTTAACCTTGATGAAGTCCAATTAATGTATTTATTCTTTTGTCACTTGTGCTTTGCTAACCCAAGATCAAAAGATTTACTCCTATGTTTCTTTCCAGGAGCTGTATACTTTTAGCTCTTACATTTTGGTCTATGATCCATTTTGATGAAATTCTGTGTATGGTGTAAGAAAGAAAGAGTACAACTTCATTTTTTGTGTGTGTGTATTAAGTTGCCCCACACCATCTGTTGAAAAGGTTATTCACTCCCCCATTGTCTTGGCACTTTTATTGAAAGTCTGTTTATTTTTTGACTCAATTGTATTCATTGATCTATATGTCTATCTTTATGTCAGTACACATGTTTTGTTTTGTATTGATTTATTTATTTATTTATTTTTATTTATTTTGAGAGAAAGAGCATCAGCAGGGGAGGGGCAGAGAGAGTGAGAGAGAGAATCCCAAGCAGGCTCTGTGCTGTCAGCCTGACGCAGGGCTCAAACTCACATACCGTGAGATCTTGACCTGAGCCGAAATCAAGAGCTGGACGCTCAACTGACTGAGCCACCCAAGTGCCCCATTTTGTTTTGTTTTTGAATGTTTATTTATTTATTTTGAGAGAGAGAAAGAGAGAGAGAGCATGTGCATGTGTGTGTGAGTGGGGGAGGGGCAGAGAGAGAGGGAGACAGAGAATGCCAAGCAGTCTTTAAGCTCAGCACAGAGCCTGATGGGAGGCTGGTTCTCACAACTGACCATGAGATTACCACCTGAGCCAAAATCAAGAGTCAGACGCTTAACCGACTGAGGCACCCCACCTAGGCACCCTTGTTAGTGCACACTGTTTTTATTACTATAACTTCTTGGTAAGTTTTGAAACCTGAAAATGTAAGTCTTTTAGCTATGTTCTCTTTTTCAAAATTGTTTTGCTCTTCCAGTCCTTTGTATTTTCATTTGGAATTGAGGGTCAGCTTGTCATTTTCTACAAAAAAAAAAAAAAGCCAGCTAGGAGTTTGATAGGAATTACATTGAATCTGTGTATCAATTTGGGAAGTATTGCCATCTTAAAAATATTAAGTCTTTGATCCATTACCATGGGATGTCTTTCTATTTATTTAGATATTTAATTATTTTCAAAAATGCTTTCTATTTTTCAGAATACAACTTTTGCACTTCCTTTGTTAAATATATTTCTAAGCATTTTATTCTTTTTAATGCTGTTTTGGATGAAATTATTTTCTTAAATTTGTCTTCAGATTATTTATTGCTAATGTATAGAAATATGAATGATTTTTAAATACTAATCTTTTATCCTGAAATCTTGCTGAAATTATTTATTAGTTCTAATAGTTCTTTAGAGGATTCCATAGGATATTCTATATACAAGATCATGTCATCTGCAAATAGAAGCACTCTTTTTTTTCTTACCTAAATGCCCTGGCTAGAACCTACAGTAGTAGTTGAACACAAGTGAGGAGAGTGCCTTCATGTCTTTTTAAAGACCATATTTATTTCCATGAAAAACAGAGAATAATTATTTCATTTAATGATAAACAACATATTTGCATATATTTTCATTGAAAGTTGCTTTTCAGTATGAATATTTCCTCCTCCGTTCATATGGAGTTAATGAGGGAAATATTTAGTCAAAGTGATTGAGATAAGAAGATACTTTACTTACATGCCTTAGTCTTAAAAAAGGGAGAGAGAGAGAACTACTATCCCAAATACTTATTTCAGCTTCTTTACATTATAATATTTTGTAATATAAGACTTCAAAACAGATCTTTGTCATCTTCATCGCACATCCTAAGAAGTTGATAAACGGAGTTGGACATCTGGAAATGGCACATATATAACAAAGTCACTTAGCTTTTCTTTTGCAAATGAGAATTATGAAAGGCCTTTTCCCTTGACACATGTGGCATGGCTACTGGTGATTGAAGAAACTACAAATGACTGTAATTATCATTGAATTCTATAAATCAGTTTAGCTATGAAACTAACTAGATGTGCCAGTTTACTTTTGGAATCTATTTCTTCACTATCCCAAATAAAATTTAGTGTGAAATTGCATTTCTTCCCTATCAATCCATAAAGCATATATCATATTTAAAAAAGTACACCCATAATTTCCATTTTTACATGGAAATAGTGAATGTCGACTCATGTCTACACTTTCCCCTGACCACTTTAATTAACCATAGAATTATGTCCATTTCTTAAAGAATAATGACATGGAAATAAAAATGTTACATTTCAGCCATTTAGAGATATTGATTGCAATCTTAATTATTTCTCAAGCATTTTTTTTCTTTCTTTAGAAATTCCTTGCTAAAAGCTCAAATCAAAGTTTCTCATGCCATCAGTAGAGAAATGGGAAGATAATTTTCAAGTAATTTTTGCATGGGCTTTGCACTTAGAATATACTTTGATTTCAAAATCTATATTTATAGTTTAAGCATTTCAGTATCAGGTCAAAATGGAATGGGCACCTTCTTTAGCCTTACTTTTCTGCTAGCATCTTTCCTGGTTCTGAAGACTCATAAAAAATTCCAAGACTTATATGTGCACACCAGTCAGGGAGCTAAGGAAAAGCAGAACAAAAAGGAGCTCACTGAGAGACTCTGGCAGTTTGACCCTTTGTAAAGTATTATAGTTCAAGCCCACCCAATAAAGCTTCTATTGGAATTATGATTGCTACTTCAAAGCAAGAAGAAAACAGCAGAGCTGAAGATTCTTTAAAAAAATATTTTTTAATGTAGCTCAAAATATATGTGAGAGAAGAAAATACAGAAGAAAACTCCACACATATATGGTACAACCATACAAATCTCATGACACCTGAATTCTAGTCATCCCTTCTATGAATGAGCCTAAATTGATTAAAAGAGCTTTAAAAGTACATGTATATCTTGTTCAATTTTTGAGATGTGATGAGGTTTTATTTTATAAGGTAAGATTTTGTAAATAACTTTATAATTTGAGTCTAAGTAATATCATTAATGTAATTAAACATTTTAATCAATGTAAACATTCTACTTCTTTATCTGCTACTAAACTAAAAATATTTTTATTTCATAGGTTACTTTCAAAATATTATTTCAGTTTAACACATCTTATCTCATGGAAAATGTGACCATTCATTTAAGTGCAACAAGGTTGGTCAATATGTATGCATGACTGTATGTGTTATAAGTATATAATTTCTTCCATGTATTTAGAATATTTTGCTTTATAGATTCACTGGAACTTACAACTTTTATGAGGATCAGTAAAAGTAGAAGGCAATGAACCCCTTTAGTTAACAAAAACATCCTTATGAATAATTAAAAATAAAGAAATTTTTATTTAATGGAACTAATACACCTAACTAGATTAAGCCATTGGTCTAGGAGCTGTAAAACATATTGTAATCATACATCACTTATATCTGCCAAATTTCATTTAAATTTATTTAGAAGTTTACAGGATTGCTAATTTAATTTTTACTGGCAGCCCATAGTCAACTGAATCGTTAGATGTCCTTAAAGGCTCTTTTTTTTTTTTAAGTTTATTTTATTTGTTTAGAGAGAGAGCACATGAATGGGGAAGGGGCAGAGAGAGAGGGAGAGAGAGAATCCCAAGCAGGCTCCATGCTGTCAGCTTGGAGCCCAACACAGGGCTTGATCCTACAAACCATCAGATCATGACCTGAACTGAAATCAAGAATCAGACGTTTAACTGACTGAATCAACCAGGCACACCTAGACTTAAAGTTTTATGATACCTTTTTGTAGTTTAATATATTTTATACAAAGAAGTCAGAGCTTCTGAAAGATATCATAGAATACCCAGACTAAAAATAAAAGGCTCATGAGGAAATTGAAATAGTGTCTTAACTTTCTTCTAAGTGTAATCATCCACTGGACCATAAACTTGAGATAAAGTTCTATCTTTTGTTGCTTTACTCCCCAGTAACTAGCATGATCCCTCATACTGAATTAATATAGAGTGAATGAATAAGTGAGAAAATAATGTGTAAATGAATTCTGTATGCTCAGTTTAACTCAACAAATATTTATTTGACATCTATGGACAAGGTATTAAATTAGTCCACAATAGGGAATATAAAAATTAATATGGGCATGAACCTCCTCATAGGGTGAATATTATAGCAGGGCACTGAGACTAGTATATAAATTATTATGATATAGGGTAGAACAAGGGAAATTCATTCGAAAAATGTAAACCATGTATCAGAAATTTTAAACAGAGGTTGAAATTATATCTACTGGGCAGTGAGACCCCAAGAAAACTTTATCAAGACGATTGTAATTGAGAAAGACCTTAAAGGGTGGGTAGCAATTCACAGAGAGGTTGGTAAATAGAATTAGGTAGAGCATTTTAGACAAAATATAGAGCTTGAGCAAAAACTCAAAGATGAACCACTAGATCTATTGGTGGAATACTAGATAATCCATTGTAGCTCACATATAGAGAATACATAAAGGAGTAACAGAAGATAAACAGAAGGTATGCATTTTACCATGTTGTGGTAATGTGTGTTGAAATGTATTGAAATGTCAGGATGAGGCATTTTTTCTTAACTGAGCAAGTCCTAAGAAGCCAGAAAAGTTTTTGAGGGGTGAAGTCATATATACAGAGCTGTTTCTTAGGAAGATTAATTTAGCTACAGCAGGGAACAGGTGGGAGAAGAGGAGACCATCCATAGCAAAAGCCCAGTCACATAAATATCTATCACCCAAAGCAAGGTGCTGCCTTCACTGCCCTTTAGCTCGCACAAAGCCACTTAATACACTTGGGAATAGCAGAGCCATTAAAACGTCCTTGTTGTCCATTCTGTGGGACCAGATGCTAGGTGCTTGGTCACTCGGTGGAGGGGGTATGTGATAAAAATAATGAAATCTAACTCTCATTAGATATTTCTTACATCTAGGCACAATGTTAAGCACTTGGCACTTATTATAATCATTTATTTATTGATAAATCCCTGTTTTATAGATTAAGAAACCTTGGCAAAGAAAGATTAAATAATTTTAAGAAACCTTAGCAAAGAGAGATTAAAGTGTGTTAATGTTCAAGAACAATCCCATGCACTCTGGCCCCAGAGCCAGTGTTGGTAACTGTTACATACCTCACATGTGTTTTTTTTTTAATACAGGGGAGTATGAGATACGCATATGTATGTATAAACATACATATGTGTTTACATAATACATAATTGAAATGACAACTTAAATCAAGGGAATAAATATATTCTGAACAAATAACATAAGCATCAAGCAATAAGCACAGAAAGACTATTAAAACAAGAAGATCAAAGATTTTATATTGACTCTCCACCATGTGACCCTAGTTGAGTCTTTTGGTGAGGTCCTTGTCTATAAAGAATAAATAAGAATCACTTGTATGATTTGTGTTAAAAACACAAATTCCTAGGCCCCGACTCAGATCTACTAAATCTGTATTTCAAGAAGAGAAGCCCAATAATCTGTGTATTTAACAATTGACCCAAGGATATTTATCATAATCCTTCTAAAGAAGTTTGAGAAACCTTGGACTAAATTGGTGTAGTTTTCAACCCAAGCTGCAGCTCAGAATCAGCTTAGGAAATTTAATAATACCCACCCCCCTCCCCACCCTGGTTTAAAAATGACAACAACAGAAACAAGAATTCTATCCTTGGGGCGCCTGGGTGGCTCAGTCGGTTAAGCGCCGACTTCGGCTCAGGTCATGATCTCACGGTCCATGAGTTCAAGCCCCGCGTCGGGCTCTGTGCTGACAGATCAGAGCCTGGATCCTGCTTCAGATTCTGTGTCTCCCTCTCTCCTGACCCTCCCCCACTTGCACTCTGTCTCTTCCTGTCTCTAAAAAATGAATAAACATTAAAAAAATTTTTTTAAGAATTCTACCTGTTTATCCTTTTATTTAATTGCCAAAATAAACTTCCCTTTCAAATGCTCAGAAATGTCTCTAAATAGTCAATGGTTTAATGATTTGTCCAAATGTGCTGTGTATTTCCTAGTGACAGTGAAGAGCCTCCTGAAGCCCTTTTTGATAATGAAGTTAATATCTCTATCCCAGTAAAATATGAAGTTGGACTTCAGTTTTACAGGTAGGAGGAAACTGCATTTTTATGTTGATGTCAGTCTACAAACCCAATGGTTCTCAAAGTGTGGTCTCTGGCCAAGGGCATCAGAAGCACCTGGAAACTTGTTAGAAAGGCAGATTCTTAGCCCCACCCCAATCCACTGAATCAGAAACTCTGGGGCCCAGAAATCTGTGTCAAACAAGCTCTCCGGGTAATTCTCCTGCACTCAAAAGTCAGAGGCCAAGCCTACTAGATAATTTTAAATGTGAGGTGCTAATGATCCTGGATTACATTAGCAGTCCAGTCTTCTGTCATAAATGCAAGCTGCAGATCTAGAAGTACGTCACAAATGGCACTGTTCTTAGAGGGCACCAGCATGTTTCTTGACCATCATTTCTCATTGTGAGGGATCTAGTCAGCCTGCCCATTCTGGACACACAAGATTAAATCATTCCTCATTGACAAGAGCTGTTTATTTCTTGCATTATTCTAAACTGTCCTTTCCCCTAAGAACTTCTGATCTATCCAAACACAAATCGTATTGGCAAAATTTCCCACTATAATTTCTCTTGCTTAAGCAAGACTCCAAGCTCCTGTTAAATAAATATGTGCAATGTATACAGAAAGTGTAAGTATATGATTCTTATACTTTCACAGTTTAGTGTGAAATTCTGATCATTTTATTAATTTATTTTCTATGGTACTTTGCTTTTTCTGATAACAAACAACAAAAATGTGAGGATTATAGGATATACACATAAATTTTGTGTATATTACTTAGCCTCCGAATTCTGTTTGCTGTTTTCTATCTTGCTGTTACCACTTCTCTTGGTACAATGATTTTCCAAGAATTTTTCATTTTTAAAATAGAATTTTGGCAAATACCTATTTGTTTTATTATACTAAATTCCACCAAGTTCATCCAAAGAACATGGAGAATTTTATGGAAAAGATTGAATTTTTAAGTTTGGCAGTAATATAGGACTTTAATGTAAAAAGGTTAACAATTTTTTAAATCTATTTAAATTTCAGCACTATGAAAAATACCAACTTTTAGTCTCATTATTCACTAAATGTAAATGATATTAGTGAATTAGTGGAAACTTTATACTTGGTAACAATGAAACTTTCAGTTTAAAAACTGTATATATTTTAGCATTTTAAGACCAAATAAACATTAGTGATTATTGAGTGAAATTATATAATCTTTCTCATCCTCCTCAAAGATTTAATTTTAGGTTTCAGAGTAGAAGAATTTGCCTCCAATTTGAAATTTCTACAAGTACTTTTTGTGGGATTACCTAGTATAAAGAAAAAGAATGAGGTCAAATAAAAGTTAAGCTTTGTTGTGTTTTGTTTTTCTTCTTTCAATTAATTCTCAGCTCTGCGAGTGAATACCATATTTCAATTGCGGCCAATGAGACAGTCCCTGAAGTTATTAATTCTACTGAGGACATTGGAAGTGAAATTAATGTCTTCTACTTGGTAAGAAATTACCTCTAAATTAGTATAGTAAAGGAATAATTTGTAAGTTTATAAATTAAAGTATTAACAGACACATAGAAACCTGCTGATTCAACAGTTAATCCCTATATTCCAGAATATTTTTTTTTATAATTTCACTATTTTGTAGTAATTTTATTTAAATAATTATTGATAATTATACTTTGAAGCAATTTTAAAAATCTAAATTTCTAATTTCCTCCTAAGACACAGTTAGATGACTTCCTAGAAAAAATAAACTTATAAAACCAAAGAGATACTACCTATAAACCTGTAGACTTTATTTGCATTGCAAGTGTGAATGAAAAAAACACTTTAAAAAATAATTATCACTATTTCAGAAAATTGATTACTTCAGATGTCTTGGTAATATTTTCCTTTACTCAACAAATAAATATGTATCTCCTTCAGCTCATTGCTACCTTTCATATGTTCCTTGTACCACATCCTTAAGTGATGTTTTCTGTTACATTTATTTTTCTCTTTGAATTCATCATAATGAACTTTCCTAACCACTATAGCAAACAATTACGGAATTGAGCCAGACTTGCATTTTAGGTAATGCCTACTTACAGACACAGACTCAAGTATGTTATTCAAGTAAAAGAGGGTCCAATTCAAATGATGAAATTAAATATATATTCAGAAGTATGAATAATGCAATGTTATTATAGGTGAAAATGGTCTCAATCTCTTTCCAGTGAGAAAGGAAGTTCTCTTACAAAGTGAAATAATTGTATACTCTCAAGATGCGTTCCATTGTTTTTATCTGTGCTCCTTGCTGAAATTCCTATGACAAGCCATACTCTAGAAATTAGCATGAATGCCAGTTACTTCATTACTGAGATAAATCTTTGAAATTTAGGCTGCCAAGTTCTTCTAACTCCATTTGCTATTCCCAGATTAAAGAATTCAGCAAAATACAAGGAAGGAGAGAAAAAAGAGAGAAATTTTTAATATTATAGATCTTCATATGTTGTTACTTATTAGGGACCAAACTTGAAACATGTACTCTCAAACTATTGTAAATAATGTTGATAGAAATAACATTGTTAAGAATATCCTTGAGCATAATCTTTTGTATGTCTGATTATTTTTTCTGGAATAAAATCTAAAATTGGAGTAATGGAATAAAAAATAATGTGAACATTTTCTTAGGTGAGAGCCAGTGAATTTACTGCTAGAAATTTACTATAGGAAATTATTGGTGGTAGAAAGATTTATTCTCAGAGATATTCTTTTTTTTTTTAGTTTATTTATTTATTTTTAAGTAATGTCTACACCCAACATGGGGCTCAAGCTCACAACCCCAAGATCAAGAGTCACATGCTCTTCTGACTGAACCAGCCAAGCACCCCTGGGAGATACTCTTATCAGTGTCATTTACAGTAGTTTAAAAATTGAAACCTGGGCACAATCTAAAAGCTTAACCACATGAAATTGCTTAAATAAATTATCATATAGTTATTCAATGGAGAGACAGCTATTAATAATAGTTCAGAGGGCCAATTTAATTTAATTTAATTTTTTTATTTTAGAGAGAGAGAGAGCATATAAGCAGGGGAGAGAGGCAGAGAGAGAGAGAGAGAGAGAGAGAATGTTAAGAAGGCCCCACACCTAACACATGGTGCCATCCCAGGACCCTGGTATCATGAACTGAGTGAAATCAGGAGTTGGATGCTCCATCAACTGAGCCACCCAGATGCCCCACAGAGGGCATATTTTAGGTTAAAGAAATCTTGATTCTGCTATCTATAAGCTCTGTGATCATGGAAGTTCTTTATTCTCATTCTAACCTTGTTTCCTCATAGGTAAAATAGGGGTAATAAGAGAATCTACCTCATAGGGCTGTTAAAGGGTTAAAGGCAATAATGCAAGCAGTGCCCGGAATATAAATAAATGTTTAACATAAATAAATATTGATACTGTGATTGTTATTAAGCAGCTAATAAAAGTCATATTCTTAAATGTTCTTTAAGTTTATAGGAAAATACCATGACAATACATTTTACAAGTGAGATGCCAAATTTTATATTTTATATGATACAAATTTTATAATATATGCATAAATGTAAATGATAGGTAAATTGTACACTAAAATGTCACCAATGTAGTACAACTGTAGGAAACTTCTGTTTATTTTCAATATTTTCCAATATTTCTGTAAAGAACTTTGTTTTTAATCAGAGAAAATGAATGTTAATTACAAATTACATGATTTTTTTTTTTACATTTTGGAAGAAAACAGATGGAATTAGACTGGGAGGCCATGGCAGGGAAGTTCAGGGCATATTACAATAAGAAGGCAAGTGTCAAAGAGCATGGTTAAGAAGCCAGGCACTGCTCGTCAGGAATTTCTAGAATTCCAAGATTAAGGGATGCATTTAGATTTGGCAACCACAGGGAATTGTTTCAGATCTGTGTAGCTCTCAGTCCAGAAGTTTCAGTTAGGTAGATCAGTTGGATTTCCTGGCATCTGTAGATTAAGAAGCTTCCTACTCCCCTAAGGATTTGGCCCAGGAAGGCTGTGAAGAAGGCATAGATCCTGGAAATTATGCTTGAGTGGAAGAAGAGAGGGCTATAGCACCTGGTTGCTCCAATTCGATTGCAGCTCTTCTACCTGTGAGGACTTTTGAACAGTAAATTCAGGTTCCTGCTGAACCTCATCCTGCCCAACTTTGAGCATCCCTCTCTATGGGCTACACTCACCTTTGGTGGCATGCTGTGATAGTAAGTTTGAATTTCAGCTTAATGGATAAAAATAGATGGGCGTTGAGAGGAGAGGCAATGTGACTCTCATCCAACCAGATTATCGATTGTTATTGACCCAGTAGCCATAGCTGGGGATACAGTTATTCAAGGAAGCAGGTGCATATCTGGTTTGCCTGTGCAGTGGTGACAGATCCCATGTAGCTGGGCTGAGGGACGATTTGTGGTCTTAGGAAATTATGGCAAGCACATTGAAGCAAACAAAATATGCTCTCTTGTTCTGAGTCGATCGAGTAAATAAATGTTCTCCTTCCTTCCCACCTCCAAAAGACTAACTAGTATGTCCAAAAAGATGATAAGCATGGTAAATTGACAAAAAAAATTAATTCTGAATTTCCTTAATCCCAGTCCTATTTTGGGAGTGGGAGCAGGAGCATGAAGGAACAATATATATTTGTAGCTGATACATATGGCCACTATTGAACATCCCTATTTTTTGCTTAGTTATTTCAGTTCTCTGTCCAGTGCCATCAACTGTCTGAATTCACTTTTGGGTTCAAAATATTTCACAATTTAATTCATCAATTGAGAACAGGCATTCTGCATAATACAGAAAGGGTGCTATTGGAAGAGGAAGAGAGGATTACCTTTCTATTTTTTTTTCCTGTAGATTAGAAAAAGTGGACATTTTCCGATGCCAGAACTTAAGCTGTCAATTTCATTTCCCAACTTGACATCAGACGGTTATCCTGTGCTATACCCAAGTGGATGGTCATCTTCTAATGTAAGTCATGTGTGCCTTGGAATTACATCATTATTGTTATCCTTTTCAGTATGTATTTAAAGCCTTTTGTTTTGCGTGCCATTTCTGATAAAGAATTTACCAAAGTAACGTGGAGAAGCAGTTAGAAAATTTTAAATAATAATAATGACTTCCACTGACTACTTAGTGGGTATGTTAGTTTCCTACAACTGCTGTGGTAACAAATTACCCCAATTGGGTGGCTAGAAACAACAGAAATTTATTTTCGCACAGTTCTGGAGGCCAGTGTCTAAAATCAATGTGTCAACAATGTTCGTTCCCCCTGGAGGCTCAGAGGGAGAATCTGTTCCGTGCCTCTCTCCCAGCTTCTGGTGGCTGCTGTCACCACTGAGCGTGCATTAGCTGGTGGTGGCATAAGTGCAATCCCTGCCTCCGTCCTCACATGCCTGTCTTCCTCGTGTTCCTGTGCTTTCACCTCTTCTGTCTCTCTTTACACACTCATCAGTGGACTTAGAGCCCATCCTAAATCCAGAATGACCTCATCTGGAGATCTTTAATTACATCTGCAAGGACCCTGTTTCCAAACAAGGTCACATTCACAGGTTCCAGGTGCTAGGACTTGGGCATATGTTTTTGAAATCATATCCACCAGAGTAGATTTTAGATAACTACTTGTTGACTTGTGCCTTAAAATGTGTGTTATATTGTTATAGCTTTAATTTGTTTGAGGTGATCAAACAGCTTTGTAAGAAGACTTCTTGATTGCTCCTAAGAACACACACAGCTGCACATAAAACAGCACAGTACTATTTACTCACTTATCCCAAACAGTAGCAATATCACACCCACTTTGTACCCATAGCTTTGAATGAGTCAATGCGGTAAATTGTTATGGTACAGTCTCTAAGACATAGAAAATTGTAATAAACATTCAAGTAATGCATGCATATTTTCAACATTTGACAATCTGTCTTCTTTTCAGAGATTTAAGTTAAATTGTTCTCAGAAATCAAAAAATAGCAATAGTGATAGTTGGATTATAATATTTAAATGCTTTCCTATAAGCAAGGAAAAATTAAAGCTCTACCATTTCTCTCTAATCCCAAAAAAGAAGATTTGTGAGCATGTGGAAAAATTAAAATTGTACCTTTCCTATTACTTATGAACCTTTATCCTTCCTACCTTTTATCAAGGATGTAGAGAGTCTTGATGAGCAAGAGCTTTATTAGAGCAAGTCTAGAAAACCAATCCAAGCACTAGCTGTCTTGTAAACCTGCCATTTTAACCTTTATAGGTTACTTACATCTTCCTCCCACATAGACCAAGTGTCTTGTTCTTGGTGTTTAGAGACTCACAAAATATTATTGGATGGATACATAAATACAGACAAAAGTTCCTCTCTTTTTTGTCTGTTTCACAAACCATCATATGAGCCATCATATTGAATAACAAATGCTAACCCCTTTTTTTTTCAGTAGAGTTTTTAAGTTCTTTTCTCCCTTTGTATTATGGGAATATACAAACTAATGTTTGATGAAAACAATAATTTTTTAAAAATTTTTTCTAATGTGTATTTATTTTTGAGAGAGAGAGAGAGAGAGAGAGAGAGAGAGAGAGAAACAGAGCAGAAAGACAGGGAAACATAGAATCTGAAGCAGGCTCCAGGCTCCGAGCTGTCAGCACGGAGCCCGACACAGGGCTTGAACCCACAAACCACAAGATCATGACCTGAGCTAGGCAAGGAAGTCAGACACCCAACCGACTGAGCCACCCATGAAAAAAATAATTTAATGAGTGTATGAATTATGCAATAGTGCTTTCTACTAACATCCTTCTGTTTCCAAAACAACCTCAGTGATATCTATCAAAATTCAAAAGTAGCATGCTAACGTAATTATTATCTGGGAGTGGGTGTATATGGCTGCTACAGAATAGCTTCTTCCATATTGCACATTTACGAAGATGCATCTTTCATCTCTGACAATGGCTGTCATTCACAGATTCTTCACATTATTGTACTAAGTCATTTTTCCCTCTGACATCTGGCATTGTCTGATAAAAGAAATACTTTCATTTCTTAGAATGCAAACTGCAGACCCAGTAGCCTTCAGGACCCGCTTGGTATCAACTCTGGGAAGCAAATGATTATATCAAAATCTGAAGATCTCAAACGAGGCACAATTCTGGTAAATTCAGATAACAAGACAAGTGCTACTTTTATCTCATGCTTTTTAAGTGAACAAATTCAATATCAATCTAAAAATTACTATCTTTTAGAATATTTTAATATGTTATCTTTTTATTAAATGGCAAAGATACTAATATATACCTCTGGACATTTAAACAGGACTGCAGCACATGTAAATTTGCTACAATCACGTGTAATTTGATTCCTTCTGACATGAGCCAAGTGAATGTTTCACTTATCTTATGGAAACCAACTTTTATAAAAGTAAGTGATTGCATTGTTCTCTGCCATTATTGAATTATTTTAACAAATATTTGTTCGTTACTTAGTATGTGCAAAGAAGAGTGCTTCTGTAGAAAGAACTAGAAATATTTTTTAAAATGTGGTCCAAGCTCCAGCTCTATTGAACCAACGATTTGGGTCTCATTTTTCCTTGTCTGTTAGCAACTAAGTTATCTCAAAGGTACCCTTTCAGATATATACTCTTTTATCAGTCTCTCTTATTATTTTTTTTTTGCACATCTAGAAATAAATACCTATGCAGTATTAAAGTTTGAATTTATCTTCCTACTTTAGAACTCAGTTAAGGGACAAGGAATTATAGAGGGACAATCCTTGACACCATTAACAACAAATAGATCTAACATGTATTATGGATTCATTGTATTAGATCAGACTTTACATATATATATATATACACACACACACATGCATACACATTTATAAGTGCTGTGTATATATACTTACATATATATATTTATTTTTATATTATATATATTTTATATGTATTGATACATTTATGTAATTTATGTATATATTATATTTATATAATATGACATATATAAATATAAATATATTTATATTTAGGACATTTTTTAGCTCCTAGTAGTCAAATCTGTCTGGCAAAAAACTACTTTAAAACTTAATCCATTGTGTTTTGTGTGATTTGTGTCTCTATTACAAGTGGTGAATTATATAAAATTTCCATTTTTAGGTTTGACCATATTAAGTTGCTATTTTGTAAATCACAAACTATTGGGTATTGGCAATTTCACATTTAATCCTAAAAAGCTTCTGTATAAACTTCGTTACCAGAGCATAGCTGTTTCATACCTAGCTAGCTACATGAAAGTGGGGCGTGGCTTGAGATTTGGTTTTGCTAAGGATAAATCTGAAGAAAATGATTTTGAAAATTTTTCATTCTATAACAAGGATCTAAGTGACAGTTCGAGTGCAGAGAGGAGGGGAGAGTGATCATTTGAAACCACCATTCCCATCTGGATGTTAACAAAACCAGTGTTTTTAGTCTCTCAGGAAAATCTCAATTTTAAAAATCGCACTAGCTCAAGCATGACTAGCTCTCACTGTGATTAGCATAATATATTGAAAATAAATCCTGTTTGCTTTTCAGGCACGTTTTTCGAGCTTAAATCTTACTGTAAGGGCAGACCTTCAGAGTGAAAATACATTACTGATTTTAAGTACTGGCAATCAAAAAAGAGAGGTAAGTACAACTCTAAGTTTTGAAAGCCTTATACATTTCACTCTGGATTTTGTGACACAACGTTTTATAATTGCTTATAGTCCCTAAAACAGTGACTAGCTAGTCACTGAGTAACAGACACTTTTTGCTTCAAATTATACTTAATTAGCTTCAAGTGTGATTTCAGTCTTCTTTGTAAGAAACTGGGAAAAAGCCATGATATTTACAATTAACATGCCACGTTTGACTTTACTGCTTGTAAGTAACTATCACAATAAATTGATGTTTTTACTTTCACCTTGATAACAAATGATGCATTTGTAATTTACCTCCTTAAAAACCAACATTATAAAATGCAATTGACATTTGAAGAGCAAACTTGAAAAATGCTTTACAGAAAGTAATGGTACACTGTACAGAAATAAATGTAAATTTTTAAAGGTTTTCTTCATTTAGTCATTGGGAAATCTGAAGCAAAAATGAGATATTATTCCCTCATACAAATTCACACTTTAGTCATTGGTAAAAATAAAATGGTTTGAGTTTTTTCCTACTGTATTATTATAAAATAAGGCCAGAGTACTAATTATAGATGTGGATATATAAGCATGATTTCTCCTCTTCTCATGGGAGAGTTTAAATATCCCATGTGGATAGTGTGAGTCATAACATTTTATTTAAGAGCTACCTAACATTCAGATGTTGCTTAAAAATTTCTTATTTCAGGGGCGCCTGGGTGGCTCAGTCAATTAAGAGTCCAACTCTTGGTTTCAACTCAGGTCATAATCTCATGGTGGATTGTGGGATCGAGCCCCACATCAGGCTCCACACTGAATATGGAACCTGCTTGGGATTCTCTCTCTCCCTCTCTCTCTCTGCTCCTCTTCTGCTCACACTCTGTCTGTCTGTCTGTCTGTCTCTCTCTCTGTCTCTCAAAAATAAATAAATAAACATTTTTAAAAAATTATTATTTCAAATTAATACGTATTTCAAATAATTCCAATGAACTCTGGTAAGTATTCACCTTTAAAGAATATATGCATATAATGTATACAACATATACATATAATGTTTACTTATGTTATAAAGAGCACTGACAAGGGCATCTGGGTGGCTCTGTTGGTTAAGCATCCCACTTCGGCTCAGGTCATGATGTCGCGGTTCACAAGTTCAAGCCTCGCATCGGGCTCTGCACTGACGGCTCAGAGCCTGGAGCCTACTTAGGACTCTGTGTCTCCCTCTCTCTCTCTGCCCCTCCCCAGCTCTCTCTCTCTCTCTCTCTCTCTCTCTCTCTCAAAAAAAAAAAAAAAAAAAAAAAAAAAAAAAATGAATAGGGGCGCCTGGGTGGCGCAGTCGGTTAAGCGTCCCACTTCAGCCAGGTCACGATCTCGCGGTCCGTGAGTTCGAGCCCCGCGTCAGGCTCTGGGCTGATGGCTCAGAGCCTGGAGCCTGTTTCCGATTCTGTGTCTCCCTCTCTCTCCGCCCCTCCCCTGTTCATGCTCTGTCTCTCTCTGTCCCAAAAATAAATAAATGTTGAAAAAAAGAATTTAAAAAAAAATGAATAAACATAAAAAGTTGTTTAAAAAATAAAATAAAATAAAATAAAATAAAATAAAATAAAATAAAGAGCACTGATAAATGCAAAGTTGCTCCACATTCAGAGAAGCCAAAATATTACCAGTCAGCACCAAGCCCCCAAAATGAGTATATATTATATTGGAAAAGAGTACATTTGATTCCTAGATATAGTTTGTTAAAATTTTATAATTAGTTTTATTTCCCCTAAGTGTTAGTTTAAAATTCCCTATGAAGCTTTTTATTCAATAGCTCATCCTAAAGGAAAACTATACCTGCATTGTTTTTTTGTTTTTTGTTTTGTTTTAAATGTTTTTTTTTTCAACGTTTATTTATTTTTGGGACAGAGAGAGACACAGCATGAACGGGGGAGGGGCAGAGAGAGAGGGAGACACAGAATCGGAAACAGGCTCCAGGCTCTGAGCCATCAGCCCAGAGCCTGACGCGGGGCTCGAACTCCCGGACCGCGAGATCGTGACCTGGCTGAAGTCGGACGCTTAACCGACTGCGCCACCCAGGCGCCCCTACCTGCATTGTTAAATTACAAAATGATCATTTTGTAATTGTGTGATCTTAGTCACCGATCCCATCCAGATTTAAGTTTCTGTATTTGTAAGTTGAGGGAATTGTTTTAGATGTTTTTAAAATCTGTCTTAAACCGTCTTACTCTGTACATATGTATACTCTTGCAGGATCTGTATTCCCAAGGTGTCAGCAGGGACCCACAGGGAGCAATCTGAGGAGTTTACATCAGTCTCTAAAATATGTAAATATCGCCCCTGTTAGTTTCCTCCTTTTACCTCCAGTCTTCCCTCTAGCTTAAGGAATTGAGACATTCCCTGTGACAAGCAAATACAGAAACTTGAGCTATTAGTTATTGACACCTACTCTGAATTAGTTTTTTTCTCAGAAGTCTAGGGATGAGACACAGGGCAGACAAGTTTCATAGCGGTTTGACTGCCACATTGAGTAGCTGGAACACTAAAAGCTGTTTCTTCAAAGTTTTCTTTCAATTAAGGCCTGATTTATATTGGGACACCTGAGTGGTTCAGTCTGTTAAACTTCCCATTTTGGTTCAGGTCATGATCTCACAGTTTGAGTTCGAGCCCTGCATTGGGCTCTCTGCTGACAGCTCGGAGCCTGGAACCTGCTTCATATTCTGTGCCTTCTTCTCTCTTTACCCCTCCCCCACTCAAGCTCTGTCTCTCTTTCTCTCTCTCTCTTTTTCTCTCTCAATAACAAACATAAAAAAAAATGAAAAAGAACTGATTTATAGATATTGACTAAAGATAAGTACTGGAAGAGACAGTGTGGTATAATAAAATGTAAATGAAGGTGAATATATGTGCAAAAATTAATTTGTACACTTGAGATTTATGCATTTTGCTATATAAAAGTTATATATAAATTTGTAGACAAAAAAAATCACATTAGAATTAAAATTAGAAGAAGACCTACTCAGGATTTTATGTCAACCTGTGGTGACATTTCAGCCTAAATTTTTACGACTGTGACTATGCACTAAAGTCGATCAATGAATCAATGAATCAATAATACTTATTGTTCTCACTGAGTTAAATTCACCTCTGCTCCTGAACATTCTGATTCATAGGCAATTTACTCTGTATATATAAATTTCTAAAGCATGATATTATAAATATTTTTGGTAACAATAAATTTGACGCGGTTAGAGGTGTTGAATAGAGGAAGGGCATTTCTAAATGTAAACTCAACGTTTTTTCTGTATGTAGTAATCAGATTGAGTACATTGTTTGGTATAAAATTATACCCTGTAAGAACTCAATGTACCAGGAGTTATAATAGGTGTTTATTGATGTTAACAGTCTTGTTTAATGATTTTCAGTTTGCTATTCAAATATCCAAAGATGGACTACCAGGCAGGGTGCCATTATGGGTCATCCTGTTGAGTGCCTTTGCTGGATTGTTGCTGTTAATGCTGCTCATATTAGCACTGTGGAAGGTAAGCACCGAAGTTCCTTTGATTTCCTATTTCAACTACCAACAGCAAATTGGTGAAATGAATTATGATTTATCCGTGCTGTGCAATACAATATTAGACAGCTATTAAAAATACTGAGGGACATCTGGGTGGCTCAGTCGGCTGAGTGTCCAACTTTTGGTTTTGGCTCAGTTCATAATCCCAGGGTCATGGGATAGAGCCCTGCGTTGGGCTCCATGTGGAACATGGAGCCTGTTTAAGATTCTCTCTCTCTTCTTCTGCCTCTCTCCCTCACTAGTGCTGTCTCTCTCTCTCTAAAATAAAAAGGAAATAAACATATTGAAATGATGGGACCAAAACAAATTTTTTAAAAATGTATATCTCAAACACTATGCACAACTTAATTTCAGTTTTGTAAAAGAAAAAAAAATCCAAAAATCATGATGGATCTCTCTAGAGGTTGGGCTTATAAGGGACCTTTATATGTCTATAATATTGGGAATTGTAAATGTTTATAAGGAAAGAAGAATGAAACCTCTCTTTTATTAAAAAAAAAGAAAAGAAAAGAATGAATTCCTCTATAAGTTTAAGAATATATAAGCAATAGAATAGTTAGGATGAGCATTATCCTAATCACATACCTCTATGCATTTTAAAAACTAAGATTTCTTTAATATATAAAGAAATATACCACATTTTATGCAATAGTTGTGTGCCTGAGTAAGAGATGAGAAATTTATTAATTAGTTGATGGAAAGAGAAAGATTACTGTTTCACTGACTCCTATTTCATATCCTCTTGTGAAACTATTTCTGTTGGATAAATCTGCATATTTACATAGATGTTTGCTTATACTGAGGTATGTGAGATTTTTCAAACTCTTAGCTGCATCATTTTATTTTTATTTTTATTTTTTTTTTTAATTTTTTTTTTCAACGTTTATTTATTTTGGGGACAGAGAGAGACAGAGCATGAACGGGGGAGGGGCAGAGAGAGAGGGAGACACAGAATCGGAAACAGGCTCCATGCTCTGAGCCATCAGCCCAGAGCCTGACGCGGGGCTCGAACTCACGGACTCACGGACCGCGAGATCGTGACCTGGCTGAAGTCGGACGCTCAACCGACTGCGCCACCCAGGCGCCCCAATTAGCTGCATCATTTTAAAATTAAGCAGAACTGAGGGGTGCCTGGGTGGCTCAGTTGGTTAAGCATCTGACTTCGGCTCAGGTCATGATCTCATGGTTCGTGGGTTCGAGCCTCGCATCAGGCTCTCTGCTGTCAGCACAGAGCCTGCTTTGGATTCTCTGTCTCTGTCTCTGTCTCTCTCTACCCCTCCCCTGTGTGTGCTCTGTCTCTCTCAAAAGAAATAAATAAAATTTTTAAAAGTTAAATAAAATAAAATAAAATTAAGCAGAACTTAGATGACAGCATTTGCACCAAATTTAATAGAGAATAAAATCCCATAGAAAAGTTGAATTTAATGTTCTTCCAATTAAACATCAAATTGGTATTTATTCTAACATAGTATCACCCTATATTTTATCAAATTGTTTTATTAAATAGCTAAACTCTGTTAAAAATTCAGGATATGGCTATATATTCCTTTTTCTAATACCTGAGCAGTAGAATTCTCTTTTAATCAAACAGTTCAAATAATAAATTTCTGTCCTATCAAATTTCCAGCTGTTCCTATCCTTTTGACTCTCTTAAAATAAATAACTTCCTCTTTTGGAAGTGGTTTACACTGAGAGGGGATGACAAACAAAACCATGTTAGAGGTGTAGACCAGTAGCATTTCCAGCAAAGTCTCTAAGACAGGATTAATTCCTTGCTTTCTCAAACCTCCAGCTCTTAGGCGTTACCAGTGCTGTGTCTGTAATACCTGGCTTTGCCACACTGTGGTACCCAAGACCTGGCTTAGTGGTGCTGAGGTTGTGCTTGAAACCTAGAATGTGGTTTCTTCATTTACATGCATCTCTGTTACAGAGAGTGTTTTATTGTTGATTTCTTCCAGTGTGATCTATTCTGAGCACTGCACTTGCCCATATAGACTTAGGACCTGGCTGACAAAGAGAAAAGGAAAGCCAGAGCTGATATTTGGATAGGTTTTCTCCGGTGGCATGTCTGCTTAAAACAAATAAGTTTTATCCACTTATTTGGTTTTTTGGCCACCAATCTGAAAAAGCATAAAAGTAAAAATAAACACATCCTTCCATACAGTCAGCGTTTTTTTGATACATTCTTCTGGCTTCTTAGATCGTTTTCGGCCCAGGAAGGAAGGTAATTTAGCAACCTTTGGACTGCTGTAATCAGTAGGTACATTTAGTTCAACCAGTTCAGTGGGAGATGCCTCAATCAGAACTGTGACTCCACAGAAACAAAGGAATTAGGACTTCCTGAGAGCTTTCTGCGTGCCAGGAACTGTTTTCAGCTTTTCCACTGTAATATTAACATCAACCCTTGAGAAAGACACTACTGTGAACCTCATTTTCTTAATGAGAAATTTGAGGCATATATATGTTCCCGAGGCCACGTGGTTTATCAGGTTCAGAGTAAGGACCTCAACCCAGACCATTTCACTTCATTGCCAACACTATGAACCCCTTGCTCTATGTTCTCTCTGTCTTTTGTTCACTCTGTTGTCCTTACAACCTTTTCAACTGAGTACTTTGACTACATTTTATACTTGATAACATTAAAGCAAAGAGAGGTTAAGCAAATCTCCCAAGATTATCAGCTACTAAGGGACTGGATTCAAGCAATGATCTTTCAGCAACACCCATCCTTTTTCCAATACATCCCACTGCTGCAGGCTATGAGGCAGGGCTCTTCATTCTGGAGCTCCAGGAATTGGGTTTTGTTCAAGAGGGTCATGAACTCTCTGAAATGTATAAAAATATTTTGTTTTAGAATGAGAGTCTCTAGTTGGATTCAGTCTTTCAGCAGATCCATTATGCTAAAAAGATTAATCGCCCCTCCTCCTGTTTTAAAGCCATTTTGAACATCCCTGAAGCATGTATTTGGTCTATAGTAGACTCAGAAAAGCTACTGTTATTCCCAGGGATCTTTTTATACTAATTATACCTTGAGCAGAAACCCCAGGACTGTCCCTTCTTTCTCCTCCTTCCAAATCTGAGCACTCTAGAAGTTCATGGGAACTTCCTGGCTCCATATAGGAGACAGGCCAAAGATTCTTACTGGAGCTGTGAATCTATTTCAAAAGGCACAGTCTTTATATAATTTATCCTTATAGTACACATGGCAGAAATAGAAATTTGACAAAATCTTAGTAAGCAGCTTAAGACACTTAATATTGAAGAGAGAAGGCTTTTAGGGGGCACAGATCTAAATAGACCGAGAAACATGTCCTGGAATATAGTACCATATGTTGAGGGGGAAACTCAGTCAGGCCAATATAACCAATAGAATGGAATGAGACTCAGCCCACAGAGGAACCCTAAGAAAGAAGAACATCTCTCTCTTAGCTTGATTTCATAGCAATGCCTGAGGTTCCATCACTGATGATTTATTTACAAGTCCTAAAGCTTTGTTCCTCATCCAATATTCCTATCTTTGGTGGATGTGGATAGGGAATAGCACTACAATTTTTTAGTTTTTGGTATATTAGTATCAATTTATCCATTCAACATTTATTGCATATTATAGCCAATAAGCACATACTTTCTACCGGGTACTATTTACTTTGACCCTTTGCCATAGGGTTTTGAACTAGGGAAGCATAAATAAGATCTAGCACTTACTGATAAGTAAATACGAAAAGACAAAGAAGGAAAGTGAAAGTTGTAAGTCTGGACACTGAAAACAAACTTAACTTGTTTTTAACCTTGGCTAGTCTTAGCCTTCACTGGTTTGAAGCTATGTTCTATATTCACCTACTCTCCACTCCTATGACCCAACTTCCACTATAAGGACCCAACTTAATAGAATTTGTTGGGTGGAAAAGTTCAGATAACACAATAAGTTTTAAAACAGAGCATTTAGTGTGTGAAAGCAAAGGAAAGTTGGAAAGATGCAAAAAGACTTAAGAGGGAAAGGACAGGAGATAAAGAGCAGGGTAGAGCAGGAGAGAGAAAAGTCTTATAATTCACCACCTATTTCTGTGAAAGCCTCATCTGATTAATTTTTGACTTAGGACATGCGGGCACAAGTTAAGGGGCCTGATGGTTTGTGAATCCAGTACTTTTTTTGTTGGCTCAAAGAAAAAACCTGAGACATATAGAGCTGTCATTAGAAGAGGGACAGATTCATTGGTTTTTTCTCGTGCTTATTTGTTCTGTTGTCTTTGCCTCATCTACCACTAGATGCCTCAACTAGATTCTGGCATGATGGAAAACATAAAAAAGTTAACTTCTCTCACTTAAAAATGCATACTTTTGACCATTTATGCCTTGTAAGCCCTCAGTTATTCAATAATTATTTTTGAATATATCATTCCCTTGCAAATTTACCATAGCTTCCTGATTAAAATAATATGAGCATATCACACTTTCAAAGAACTAACTTGTTGTCTGCTTGAACTATTATAATCTACTCTGAAATTTACAAAAAAAATAGAAAGACCCTTAATTTCCTTTTTAAAAAAAAATGTTTTATTTATTCTTGAGAGAGAGAGAGACAGAGCATGAGCAGGGGAGAAGCAGAGCGAGAGAGGGACACAGAATCCAAAGCAGGCTCCAGGCTCTGAGCCGTCAGCACAGAGCCTGATTCGGGGCTCGAACCCACAGACCATGAGATCATGACCTGAGCTGAAGTCAGATGCTCAACCAACTGACCCAGGCACCCCGATTTCCTCTTATTTAAAATGTCCACATGTGGGGTGCCTGGGTGGCTCACTCGGTTAAGCGTCCAACTCTATTTCTGTTCAAGTCATGATCTCACAGTTCATGGGATTGAGCCCTGCATTGGGCTCTGTGCTGACAGTGGGGAGTCTTCTTGGGATTCTCTCTCTCCCTCTCTTTCTCTCTCTCTGCCCTTCGCCCACTCATGCTCACTAGCGCTCTCTCAAAATAAATAAATAAACTTTAAAAATAAAATACAATACCCACATTTTGGATTAGATTATTACAAAGGTCCCTTCCAGCCCCTATACTTACTTTTATTATAATATACAATAGGAAATATATAAAGCACTTATAATTTTTATAATGTCCCAAATTACAAGGTATAATGAAAAGTTACCCACATTCACCCCTATGTGAAATTTCTTATATGTTCAGAATTATGTTTCTTATATCCAAATTATCCAGCATGTTTTCAAGAGGTATTTCCTGTCAAGTCTATAAAGGCAGATGTCCTGACACATTTAAAGTTATCCAGGCAATTCATATCTCCCTAACCTCTCAGTCATAATGCATGTACCAGATTCCCCACCAGCTCTAAAGACCTCAATTTATGAGGTTATTTGATGGAATTTCTCTGCCACATCCCTGAAAAAAAAGATGACGGCAAAATGCCATTTAGTGCCAGCTGACTGTAGTTTGCATGCTTCCCAAATATTTTCCCAAAACGTTTTTAAGTTAATTCACCACATGTACTACTTCTTACTGGGAGACATGATATATTTAACCAACAAAAAAAGTTTAAAATGAAATAACAACCTAATAAATGTCATTTCTTGACATTCAATATTACTTAATAGGTCAATGAAAAAAAAAATCTTTCTCAATTTTATTATTTGTATCATTAATTATTTGCCTGCCCCAAATCACTAGCATAGTATTAAATTTTATCCAAGGGCTTTAGTATTTATTACTTAAATTCAAATAATTAATTGTATTGTGTTTGATATTTTCTTAACAGATTGGATTCTTCAAAAGACCACTAAAGAAGAAAATGGAAAAATGACATATTTTACAGGAGAAAAATAATAATAATTATTTGATGATCTATCCTCAGGTTTGCCTCAAATATGTGACAAGAAATGTATAGATACAATTAAAGACATAGTCACATAACTTTATGTAATCCATCAGGGATTAATCACTTGGAAAGTGATAAGTCAAAGAAGATCCAAAAACAATACCATAAAAATATATTTTATAAAATGATGAAAAATATTTTAAAATAATTACTCATGTGTATTATTTAAGTAAAATTACAAAGTGTTTTGAAGATGAAGATTAACCTGTACAAATATGTTTACATATTAAATCAGCATTCAGAGTATTTAAGGAATGCATAAAAAGATTTTTATGATCATTGATAAGTTAAGCTTTTTTCCATTGATTCCTGATGGATATTCACATTCAGCATGATAGTCAACATTTGTAAATGACAAGAAAAGGTTAACTGAAAAAGATAATCTCCCCCTATTCAAATGAGAAATTTTTCCTGGGTAGAGTATATATAAAATATGGACTGAAAATATAATTAAATCACAGAGAATACATTAGCATCTTTGTGTTGGGTTCTGTACTTGGAAAAAAAATTTTTTTCCAAAGTGTTTGGAAACTTTGAGCTGAAGGAAAACCAAGAATGACTTGATTAAAAGCAGTGCACTGAATAGATTAATTTAAGCTTTCACAGAACATGTTTCATTTTGATATTGAGCCCTAAAACTCAAAACTTTATGCTGAAAACAACACTTCACGGCAATTTTGTGTGGCATACCAGCGATTTGTCATGAAAAGCCATGTTGTGTATGAGATATGCTAAGATGGCTTCTGAACGGAACATGGCAGCTTAGGCAGATGCCACAGAAATGCTGAAGTCATCTTTGCTGGGCAACTTTTGAACGTTAGGGGTTCCAGGATGTACCAAAAGTAGGAGTTTTCTCAGCTCCTTGGTACATGGTTCATTTAAACCCTCAAGCTGTGAGAGTATGTTTATTTTTCATTTTTTAAAAGGTATTTAACTTTTGAAACACATTTCTTACATTTATGAAAGGCAGTATTCCATTTCAATATTGCATTTTACCAAGAAGACACTGCTTTATAAGTGTGGCATATCAATATTTAAATAGAACTCCAGAAATGAGTTTTAAAGAACTTTAGCTTTGAAACCTCGCACCGACAGAAAGAGATCACACCTCTATATGAGCTTCTTTGCTCCTGAAGTAATTATCATGGTGCCTTGGACTCTACTGTAGCATAAGCTCCTGGGTTGCTCCGTTGCTTAGGAAAATAACAATGAATGAATGTATCGTAGCCGCATGTGTGAACTACTGCTGTAAAATTAGCTGATTCTTCTGCAACAACTCCATGTCTCCACCTGGCTGACCATCACAAGACCAGCATCTGTCCAGAACCTTATCCAGAAAGTTCTGGACTCTACTTTTCTCAAAAAACATCAAATCAAGGGAGAAATTAAATGCCATAGATTTAATTTTTTAATATAATTTCCAAGGAATTATCTGAGAACTCAGCGTCGGCCTGCCTCGTGGCACTCCACATCTACATCTAAGATCCTGATGATCAAAACCTTGCACCTGGGGAGTGCCCAGGTCATCAGTACCCTAAGAAAAGCACAATCTTTCCAGAGGTTTGATAGCCTCCTGCTGGCCTGTCATTGTTGAGAAAAGTCTACTTTGGGAATTTCCTTCATTCCCACTATCTATCTCGGGTTCAGAAATCATGCTTTCCACCTATTATTTCTTTGCCCAGTAAAACTCAGGTCTCTCTTGTTCAGAGTCACCATGCTGCACAACTCCTGTGCATAGCCTCTTCAGCAGCTCTGCTCCAATCTCAACACATTCTCAGAAATAAATCTAGCAGGTAAACTTAAATTCACACGTGGCCTCCATGACTGCTAGGCAAAGCATTCACCAAACCAGGAGTGTGTACATCTTAACTAAATATGGTGTTGACCCAGAGGGAAAAGATGGAAACAATGTCATTTTGAATTTTTTAGAAAAGACAGGGAGAACTGCTGGGCCAGATCAAATAGGTACTTATAATCATGGCACAGTTTTTAACATCAATCATTCCCAGTTTTTAAATAAAATTTAATGAACCAGATATCCATCATCCCTAATACTATAACTTGTTGAGCTTTATGTGTGTGAGCATCTGTGTGTGTAAACACACATGTACACACACCCACATGAATGTGCAAACATAAATCAAATACAAAATATCTCAATAATACCAAATGACAGGGTTTGACAAAAAGGACAAAAAATAAACACAGAAGCTACACCACCAAGGAAAGTTTGATTCATCCACTTTGCATATAGTTTTCATTTTTATTAATATTTAACTTTAATGTACAGTTCTGCAACTATGTAAAAGATGCAAATGTGGAGGTTCTGATTAGAATAAGTCAGCAGTACACATGTTCTAAAACATAGTCAATGATCAAGAAATATACTAACCTCTACCATTTTATTCTAAAGCACTTAATAAGAAAAGTGAGTGCTTTTTAAACCTATGAGTTTATTCCAAAAACTTTTTTTAACTTTGGTATTTTATAAAATTGATTATTTCTTCCATTGTGAACTTACATATGTATGAAGTCCCTTTCCAGACTACACTTAGAAAGGTATATTGGTAAATTATTCAATAACTGGCTCTCCAGGAGGAAAACAAATTCCCTGATTTGTGTCATTTGCCAATTTCCGTGACCTAAATAGTCTTGTCATGGCCATATTCAAGCTACTGATATAACCCTACCATCTTAACAAAACTCCTGAAAATTAATCTGTCAGGTCCTGTGAACCAGTATGAACTGGCTTCAGCACACCATTGAAATAGATTAGATGACAATAATAGGCAATAGATAGATGATAGATAAATAGATATAGATATACAGAGATATAACATGTTGAATATATTATAGATAGATACACAAATACAATATCATCATATTTCAAATTATCCTTAAAATGCTCATCTCAAGCCCAGCAGACATAATGCTACATGGTTTCCCATTCTTTAACTTCAACTTCTAAAATTATAGCCTTCCTTTAATATTATTAAAATTATATAAACTTTCAGAAGAAGCAAGAATTGAAATCAAGAAAATCTGAAGGGTGACACAGTGAAAATCGGAACTTCAAAACCACTAAGAAGCTGCTTCACCTTCTCTAGGAGTCCATTGCCCTGAAGCAATAGTGTGAAAGTTCATCCTTTGCAAATATTTGTAATTTCTATGATCCAATTTGAAATTCAGTGGTCCAATTTATTCACTTATTTTCTCTGAGCTGTAAAGTCATGGGCAGTTTAATCTGAATATTTCCATGTCATAAATACACTTGAAATGAGTCTTGTGGGGGAGAATTTTTTGCAAAATTTGATGCTTACTCAACCATAATAAATGTACCTATATATGCAAATACCTATAAATATATATGTATATATATACATATATATATATATATATACACACACACACATATATGTATATATATTCTCTTTTCCTTTTACAAAACCAGTATGTAGACTCAATTGGAAAATAAATCTGTGCCAAAAGCAAAAGGTGGCTGCACAGTGCTGGAGTAGAGCTGGGTTGTAGCGGCTGTGAGAAGCCGTGCACACATCTCTCTAGGCATTCTCTGGAAGGGCCACGGCTTGTACAGTGTGAATGGCTGCCCCGCCATTCCGTACAGTGTGCCTTCGTAGGGGGTAATGTCTTTATCAAACATGTTGTAATCTGTTCTGTGTGAATTAACTATCGTGCTTTGCACAACACTGAGAAAACGAGGGAAGACCCAGGCTCAGAACACGGTTCATGTGCTAGGTGCAATCACATTATTGTCCAAAGAGAGACTTCTGGAAAGTTATTTTTAAAAAATAATATCCTCTGCATCCTTCATTTATTTTCGGCAGTTCTCAAGTCCTCCTCATTAGTTACCCACCCCAGCCCCCACCAAGGGAGATTTTCTAGAGGACTATTGGAGAAAAATCTGTTCAAAACATGTGCTCTCTGTTTGCTGTGAATACCAGCTTCAGTGAACTGATCATTTATATAGAATTTCAGTCCTCGGTTCTTCTATGACACAATCAAGGGATGACATGGTATAGGTATAATGTAATAGGGACAAAATGCCTTGTACTTCAGAGATGGGACATCTTTAACAGATTTACAAACCTTTATGGGACACCATCAGCAACTATGCCAAGGGTTGAAGGAAGGGCTTCTAGGATGTAGCTATCAGCACCCCACCTCACCCATGGACATAATAATCCAAAAAATTAAAAAGAAGACTCTAAAATCGTCAGACTGATGCTATTTTTAGCTTAATTTGTTAACAGCAGATTTTTTAATGCAAGCATATCTTTAAGGTGAGTCCAGTGGGCAACCCCTTTTAATGTTAAACTGCTGTCGCTAAACCTCTCCAATGTAGAACTTCTGAAACCATCCCAAGAAGTTAACTCTGTAGTACATTACAAAAGGCTATATTCTGTTGTCTCCCAAATGGAAGCACTATTGTGCAACATCTTATGTAAAATAAAAATAGAGCTAGCAACTGACCTTGTAATCTGATGAACAAGTCAGTATCTTTGATCCTCATATTAAAATTTAACCTTGAATTTAGAAATTCCAAGTAACAGCCTGTAACCATGAAGCTTGAGGAAATCTAAAGGACCCTATGTTGGCCGTTAAGCCCCAGCCCCCTTGTCCCCGACGACATCTGGCACCAATAGGTCCATTTTTCAACTGATGGGAATGGATGCTTCTGCCTCTAAAAAAGGCTAAAAGGACTGAGTTTAACCCCTGAATCCACTACACACCAGGATCAGCCTGGCCCCACCTCAAATCAGATATACACAGAAGCACTTCTTGCTGAAAATTTACCATACTGAAAAATACACAAGGGTGAGTTATCACTTCAAATGTACTCTGCTTTGAGGTCAGCTTTTCTTTTCTTTTTTTTCTTTCTTCCTTTCTTTTTTTTTTTTTTTTTT